TGGATGACCTTTCTTCAGACCATAGTCCAGTTCTGCTTTCACTACATTCTGACTTTGCTCCTAAACCATCACTTCCTAAACTGATCACTGGACGAGTAAACTGGGACAAATTTCGTGATGATTTGGAAAACAAACTAGACCTCAAAATCCCGCTAAAAACAAAAGAAGACATTAACGGTGCCATAGAAAAACTGACATCATCAATAACAGACAGTATAAATAATAACACCTTTATCAATAAGATTAACTTCCCACAAAATACTAACTTGCCACAGCATATTCGCATCTTATTACAGGAAAAACGCAGAGCAAGATCGAAGTGGCATAGGACAAGATACCCAACAGATAAATCGCATTACACACAACTGACTAACAAACTGAAATCAGAAATTAGAAAATACAAAATTCAAAGTTTACTAAATTTTACTGAAAAACTTACAACCACTGACAAATCATTATGGATGACCACCAAAAAACTTCTTAAGTTTCAAGACTTTAATCACCCACTACTTACTGATTCCCAAACCTGGTCCAAATCCGACGAAGAAAAAGCCCAACTATTTGGACAACATCTTTTCCAAACTTTTAATCCACATCCCGATATCCTTAATTCAACTCACATCAATTGTATTGAAGCAGAACTGGATATTCCTCTCCAAATGTCTCTGCCACCCAAAGCATTTCATCCCATAGAAATATCCAACATCATTCAAAAATTACCTTCCCGTAAAGCTCCTGGACATGACCTAATTACATCCCAGATCCTAAAACTTCTTCCTCGAAAAGCCATCCTATTCCTTACTTATATATATAATGCTGTACTCCGTTCTACATATTTTCCTGATCTTTGGAAACGATCTATTGTTAAAATGATCCACAAACCCAAAAAACCACCAGAATACCCATCCTCTTACCGTCCTATCTCTCTTTTACCCATCATGGGCAAAATCCTAGAAAAACTCATCTTAAAACGCCTGTACCCTATCCTAAATTCTAAACACATAATCCCAGATCACCAATTTGGTTTCCGAACTTCCCATTCCACTATACAGCAATGTCATCGTGTGGTAGACGTAGTCTCCTCTGCATTGGAGCGCGGAATGTACTGTACGGGAGTCTTTCTCGACGTTGAACAGGCGTTTGATAGAGTTTGGCACCCGGGACTGCTGTACAAACTCCGAAAATTCCTACCACCTACATACTTCCTCATTATCCGTTCCTACCTTACTGATAGATACTTTAAAGTAAATCACAATAACGCCTATTCATCCCTTTTTTCCCAGTCTGCTGGTGTTCCTCAAGGTAGTATCCTAGGTCCTATCCTCTATACAGTTTATACAGCTGACATCCCTACCTGTCCCAACACTGTCATCACCACATATGCCGATGACACATGTATCCTATCAGTAAACAATGACCCAGCAATTGCATCCCAAATGCTTCAATCACACATCATAAATCTGGAAGAATGGTGTAAAAACTGGAGAATTAAAATAAACTCCAATAAATCCCACCAAATTACCTTTACCCTTCGTCGTAAACCAACGACTTCCTGTCCTACAGTTTCCTTTAACAATACTCCACTTATCCCTGTTGAGCAAATCCGATACCTAGGACTCCACCTGGACAAACGACTAACTTGGAATCCTCATACTAGACTGAAACGACAAGAAACCGCTCGACGTTTCCGATTACTTCAGCACTTACTAGACAAACGCTCTAAACTTCCCATTAATTACAAAAGACTTATATACTTGACTATAATAAGACCTATTTGGACTTACGGAGTTGAGCTATGGGGCTCCACTAAACCATCGAATTCCTCTCGCATCCAATCCTTACAATCCAAAATCCTTCGTAAAATCCTCAATGCTCCTTACTTTGTCACTAATAAAATTATCCATAAAGATCTTAATGTTCCTTATGTTTCAGATCTGGCCCAATCCAGATACCTATCCTTCCATAATAAACTTCAGAATCATCCCAACCCTCTCGTTTCTAACCTTGCTTCCTCTTCAATTCCTGATAACCCTCCGAGGCGTCTGAAAAGAAGATGGCCCCGTGATCTCCTAATATAGTCATATCATTAGAGTGCTACCATTGGGTAGTTACTCAGCAAGTGTATTCATGTCATTATATCAATTATGTCCAAATTTACTTGATGTATTTATGTAATACAGTTGTAAATGTCATAAAGAAATAAAAAAAAAAAAATATATTTTATTTTATGCCCGATAAAAAACGAAAATATATTTTTTAAATTAGGTTTTTTTTTAATTTAAAAAAAATATATATTTACAATAACAGATTTATGACAGGTCAAAAGTTGTCACACTAATTGTTAGTGGATACTGCTAAGATATCACAAAAGGAAATTTCATCAAACTATTCACTAATTTAATTTTCTAAAAGGTTACATAATGATTTTTCGGAATAAATGGACGTTAGATACCTAAATATTTAAATATAATATGAAATCTAGAGTTATTAAACTACAGTAAATATATTTAACTTCATAAACGTATCTATGAAATATTTTTATATTTCACATCTTCTTTCACCTAACTACAATGAAATAGTAGTGGAAACTGTTGGAATATCACAAAGTGAAGATTCATCAAATTATTCACTAATTTAATTTTCTAAAAAGTTACATGACAATATTTCGGAATAGGCGGACGTTGATATCTAATTACTTAAATATAATATCAGATCTATAATTATTAAACTATAGTAAATATATTTAAGGTTATAAACATCTACTTATACATCCATGAAATTATTTTATATTTTAAGGAAGGAGATGGTCCGGGGTGTCGGTCGTAAATAGACTAAATAGTGACAAAACTATTTTATCAAAAGCCACTGGCTTATACGTATCCACATACATGAGTATAATTTTATTTAAATAACGTAATCGAATAAAAACCCGCATAATAAATGTTTAAAAACTTAACCTTCTATTGTCATATGTGTAACTTAGCATACCGAATTCCACAGCTATCATTTTCATAAGAATTATAAAAAAAAAAAATCAAACAAAAAATCTGTATCAATATAACGCATGAAGGGTGTTGGGTTCAGTACCTTGTTAGGAAGTACTCTTAAAAGGCCAACGGTTTACTATGTATTGAAAAATAGCAAAGTTGAATGAAACCGACTTCTGACATAAAAAACACTGTCAAGGGTAGAGAGTAGGTAGATAAGGACCGACCTATACCTGGACCCTGGGGAAAGCTTAGAGTAAAAACTAGTAACGGGCTAAGTAACTGGTTCCTTTTAGGATGTTACCAGTTAATGTGAAGTAATAGGGTCAAGTTAAGAACCAATGAAAACCATCCCTGCTCCACCCTGAATATTTGTATATAATACGCCGATAAGTAAGAAAAGAGGTTTTATGATGATGTCCGGCCTTGAGGATATGTCTTATATTTTCTTCCGGCTTGGGGACTGACGCCTTAGCCCAACATAGACCATGATGATCCTGGCAGAACTTTGAACCATGACGAGATGATCTTGGATCAGCAGATGCAGCGATGAAATCTACCAACCACGCCACTTCATATACATAATAGATAGGTTTTATTCCCAACAATAAACTTACCAATTTTAGAATATTTCATGGCAATATAATTTTCAAAACAGTCCATCTGAAATCATACCTCCACAGTTAACGATTAAATTCTTTGAATCTTTATATTTAGTTTATTGTAAGTAGTATTTGTACATAAAGATTTCCATTTAATTTATATATATTCTTTATTAAACATAGAAATAAATTGTTTTTTAGTAAAAGTTATTTATATCATGATAATCACTATATATCATGATATTAATGTAGGTAATTTTTTTTTTAATGATTATTTGTTTATTGATAAATATTACAATCTGTCTCAATAAAGGACATTTATAATAGAGTTCTGAGAGCACATTCACACCATATTTACAAATTTAAAAAGAAATAAAAAAAATAAGCTAACTTCAAATAATATAAAGCTACAAAAGAACGAAATAAAATATCATAGTGAAGGAAGAAAATAGTAATAATAGAATGAAATAAATGAATGAAATAGAATTAAAATTATCTTAAAAAAAAAAAAATGTAATGAAAATAAACATCTTAGATGCAGGCATAGCTATTTACACTATTTACAGTCGGCCATGGGAACTCCGAACCATACTTATCCCCCCACATGTGGAGGGAAAGCAAGGCTTCAGGAGATCCCTGCGCTTCTTCCTCAACCATTTCACTGGTATTGAAAGCCAGCGGAGATTGAGTAAGGGCGCTACAACCACGGACACTCATGACTTGAATGGAGAATCTGGCCATTGCCAGAACTCCAATATATACATGTTACAAAAGGTCACGGGGCCACTGCCGTTTCAGCCTGCGAGGAGGATTGTAGGGATGAGTGGTGCTAGATAGGGATTGTGATCCTGGATTAGGGTGATGGGTAAGGTTCTGATGGAATTCGGAGAATTTGGCTGGGATAAGATCAAGAATTAATGGAATATTAAGGTCATTATGCAGGGTTATATTGGTGACATAGAAGGAAGCATCGACTATCGTACGGAGGACTTTGGACTGGAAGGATTGAATACGTTTGATGTTAGAAAATTTGGTTGCCCCCCACAGTTCTAGTCCGTAAGTCCAGATGGGTTTTAGTATGGTCTTGTAGATCAGTAGTTTGTTTTCAATAGAAAGTTTAGATTTTCTATTAAGCAGTCTATATAGCTGGCCATAACGTCGGTTAAGTTCCTGGATTCCACGTTAGTCGTCTGTCTAGGAGAAAACCAAGGTACCGGACTGTGTCGGAGAAGGGAAGCTGGATGGTATTAAAGTAAACTGGTGGACAGGAATTACGACGAAGGGTGAAGGTTATATGTTTACATTTAGATTTGTTGACTTTGATGCGCCATTTCTTGCACCACTATTCAATAGGTGCCGTTGCAGGTTTATGGACGCTGTTTCAGGATAATGTAGGTAATTAGAAAGCATTATAAACACAAACCAGCCTTTGAGAAAAGAAATCCAATTAATTAATCCTGGACCAATCAATATATTATAGATCCAAATTTATTTGACTATTTTTTTGTTATTAATATTTATTAAGCATTTCTGGATAATTATCATCAATATATCATCATTATCCAGTGGCATTCCTAATAAAAATGTAATCCCCCAAAACATACCATGTTGTACAAAGAGATGATCGGGGCAGGATAAACTCAACTACCAGCATTCGTTCTGTGTCAAAAAAGTTAGTACCTAAATCTGATATTTCTATTGAAAATTATTTTGGCCTTTTTCAAGCCCGTTTCGGCCCGTTGTTCAAGCCTTTATCAGGGCTGCTGAACAAGAAGTAAAGTCAGACAGGATAATAAAATTATTTATTTATCCTGTTAATAAATAAATAAAATTATTTATTTTGTACCATTTTAATTTGACTGATCATCCTAACCATACTTCTCTTCAATTATTCACTACAGTCAACCATAAACCCACAATCACAAGGCAACTTATTCATGGGTATTTCTCTCAGAGTCACAGACAATATACAACCCGTTGGCAAACCTCCAATTCGTTGGTAAAATATGTTATATTTAATAAAAAAATAAAATAAAAAAAGAGGGTAAATTATAAACAAATTAATTTAAGATAATATGTGTTTATTTAACCACAACAACAAAATTGAAAAGAAAATATCTTCGTGATTTACTATATATAGCTCTCTATAAATAGTATATAAACGGCAAAGAAAACTTCTTCCTTAATACATACACTATACATTACTTGAAATTTATTATTTACAGCTTCTTAATATATTAACATCATTTGGTTATCTACATTTTTATACATGAGGGATTTAATACTTGTATACTCATAAAACTTTCTGATAAATGGTAGCGTTTCATGAAACTAAACATAGATTCAAGAGCAAAAATGGTTCTAGAATCGATATCTAATGCCGGCGTTGTACTGATTGGAAGGTCTTCCAGCCCACTGCCTCTGGAATCCAGCGTAAGCGTCCAACTGGCCATTTCTGCCGGAGTAGAGGTTGCGGTTGACAGTGGCGCCCAAACCGTAGTCAGTCTGGGAGGGTGTTCCTTTCTGCCAGCTGTGCTGGACGAATCCAGTCGCGTCCACTCCAGTCTTCCCGTTGCTCCACACCTGTTTTTGTCCATCGTACCTTATTGTTCCGGCAGATCCTGAACCTCCTCCAGATAATTGTGGTGACCTCCTTTCTCTCAACTGGGAAGAAATGATAAATTAAACATGAGAGTAATTTAAAGATTTTAAATAACTAAAAATAAATATGGAAACAGAGAAAGGAGATGGTCCAGGGTGGTGGTTATAAATAGACTAAAATAGTGGAAAAACTATTTTATTTCAATCCAACGTTTCTACCCGACTTTACAGGTCTTCTTCCGGACCACAACTAGTGTTGCCCAAAATCGGCCAACACCGCCTATCTGTTGCAAGACCAAGACCAAGATTGGTAAAAAAAAATCGATTTTTTGAATAAAATGCAGAACAGTTACTAATACTTGACAATTTTAGTTACTATATGTAAAGAATTGTTGTAACCAATATACTCTTTTGCATTTAACTCTTCTAATTTTTCATTCAGATTTAGTTAGGTTTCTCATATCTACAAAATTACAGTAATAACTCTCTCGTAATAAGTTATAGGTAACTACAAGACTGTTAAGAGAGTTTTGCGCAAGACCAAGACTGAGTTTGCAAGACCAAGACTCGTCTCGGTCTCGCATTTGGGCAACGCTAGCTACAACGGAAAAGATACAAAAGGATATAGAAAACATAATATTCAGATAAAAATTTTAAACAAGGTAAATAAACTTATTGAAATTATAAACAGTAAATACATTGAAATATTAAGAACAATAAACTATATAAACTGAGTAAAGTAAGTAACAAGATCCTAAACTGAAGTAAATAATTGGTGAAAATTGATGTAGCATAATATATGCAATTTTGAATATACTCCTACAGATCTCAAGAAGGGATTGGAAGAAAAGGATAATTAATATGAAATAATGGAATAAAGGGATGTGAAGAACGAAAAAAAAATAAAATAAAATAAATAAAAATAAAAGAACAAAATTAGAAACTTACAGGTGTGTTCAGCAAGGAGTTTTAGTTAAAACTGTGAAAAAGAGCTTAGGGAAATTTGCTTACCCGGTTGGGGAAAGGTGAGGGGAAAAGTAGTAAAAGCAAAACAAAACTTGGAACATTACAATATCTAAAATTTTAAGATATCGATGGATACAAGAAAAGAATACAATATCCGTGAACTAATAAATTATAAATATATACATATACAAAATAGAATTAAGAAATTATTGATAGAAGTACAATGTGAATAAAAAAAAATGAAAGAAGTAAAACATACCTAGAAGTAAAATGTAAATATAAAAATAAGATGGCATATATTGCAGAACTAATTTAGAAGTATAGAGAAGAACTGTTTCCTTGCTGTGAGACCTGTCAGACTACTGGAGGCAACTTACACCACATTTAAAATTTTATTGATAATTGTTTTAGGGTCTCTACTCCATCCCAGACTCCAAATGGTATAAATTGTTTCCAGTAATTTTTTTTTTTAAAGAAAAAGAAATGGAGTATTGAAATTGGTATGATTCTATTTTTTTTTTTTTTTTTTTATGATTTAAACAATAGAAAATAGTTTTTAGAGGTGCTCCCCACTCATGAGATTTTTCTAAAAAGTATTTCCTTATTTATTTATTTTTTTTGAGTATTAATTCAATCTGCCACACTGAAGGGCATTGGTACTAGGGCTATAGTATTCATTCACACAATATGTACATAAGAAAGGCAAATAAATATAAATAACTAAAGTAAAAAACAAAAAGATAAAGTAATATACAAGATAATTAAAATAACAGATTAAAGCCGAATGATAACAAAATAAATAAAACATGTTCACATCTCTTTACAATGTATTTCCTTATTAAGTTTTTATTCTAAATAAAGCCGCTCTCAATTCTTCATTATGAGGGAGTTAACTACTAACTGCTTTTACATTATTTAGAATGAAAAATGATTTTTCATTTGAGATATAATTGGGAAAAGACAAATGTATAACTAACATCTTGTCAAATTTTGATTTATTGCACATATAAATTAACGTGTAATTTTATTTTTTTATTATCATTTTTTAAAAATAAATCCAACTAAAGCAAATATATATAATATGTACATCTGGAGCATAAATATACACTAAAATCAAATTTTGGCCAAATTTTATGAATGACTTGTTTCATTAAGAAATCGACCCATTAAAAAAAGTATATATGAAAAAAAAAACCTGTGTCATTGATCTTAACCGTAATGTCGTTTGTATTACATTAGTGATGTTTCTAATTTAGATTTTTTTTCGCTTCGGATCATTAAATTGATAAAAACACTAAATAAAATATCTGCTGATTTTTTTTCGAGATTTCAGTCAACAGCGAGACGAAAAAAGAAAATAAACAGGAAAAAACAATATAAAAAAATATTACAATTCTGTCTAATGACAATAGTGTTATTACAAGATTTTTATTACAAGTAATAAAAAATCCCGAATAATTTATGACTTTTTTAAAAAACTTAGTTTAGGCGCTCAAAAGACCTTTTTAAGTGTTTTTTTAGTGCTATCAGTGGGTAGTTTCTCAATAAGAGATTCCATGTTATTATATTCCTGAGAACCGTGAGATATGAGTCCAACGACCTCGATCAGGCAGGAAAAGTGGAAAGGGAGAAAAAACAGACATATGAGAAATGCATCCCTTTCCTTAGTGAAAAGTTCCGCGAGAGTTTCGGGCTGAGAGAGTTCCACGTGAGAGGCCTTTGGTTCGGAGCTCGGAACGATACCAGACTCAACAAGGAGCTTCATGGAGGGCCTTGGTGTCGACATAAAGGTCGTGGCAAGGTTGGCTGAGAATATAATCCTCGACTCCCTGGGAATTATCCATCACCATGTGCATGGATAGAGAGTTTGTTCATGGGGGGAGGCATGCGTGTTTTACAGCATTTTTACATTATTTATTGACCACGTCCACTGCACTTTATGTATTTGTATGCATGTTATGAATTAGGTTAGGAAAAGAGAGGAGAAAATCTAGGGAATGAGAAAAATGTATAATGAAGAGAAGAATAGTTGGGGTGCTCAGTCAAAAAAGGAAGGCAAAAATAAATTATAATATTATTTTTTACATCTGCCGACGTTTCGACCTGAAGTTCAGGCCATCATCAGGGCTTTCTCCTAAAATGTCAAAGTGAGAATGATTCTCACTTTGACATTTTAGGAGAAAGCCCTGATGATGGCCTGAACTTCAGGTCGAAACGTCGGCAGATGTAAAAAATAATATTATAATTTATTTTTGCCTTCCTTTTTTGACTGAGCACCCCAACTATTCTTCTCTTCATTATCCACGACAGTCAACCAATTACCAATTAAGAAAAATGTATAGAGTGAGAGAAGGAACAGAAAGGGATATATAATGCTAATAAATGAATGAAAGAAATAGTAAAAATAAAAAAAATAAATAAAAAAAAATATAGGAAAACAAATTATGATAAAAAAAATATATATAGATAAAAAAAATTGTATATTATGCTCATACATGTTGTTAATATTATATAATTGTATATTAGTTTTGGAAAATTGTCTGTAGCGATTAATAAGTATGCTGTGTTTAAAGCAACCCAATGTAATTGGGCAGCACCCTTTTATGGTAATAAAGTGATTCTCTCTCTGTCTACTATGGAACAATGTTTTATTACTTACATGAAATATATTTTGAGTTGTCGTTATGTATTGAACAAAAAAACATGACTTGCTTAAAAAACACCCCTCTTGAATTTCCTAGTTTTTGTTGGAAATTAGGCAATTGTTAATGTGAAATTTTTTGTAGCTCGTGAGGGCTACTATCACTTCTATAAAAAAAATGTCTCTACTTACGAGACACCCTGTATAATCGTAGAATGAACCATAAATTAATACTATCCTATTATACTATTAACAATATTAACCATAAATTAACACCATCCTACTATACTAGTAACTATATTAATCATAAATTACCAAATATATATTACCTGAGGACCAAGGTAAGCAAATGGTTCTTCAGCTAGGTCATCGACATAGGCTACCGCTGCAGCGGTGGTGCTATCTGGGATAGTTGAGATAATGGCGAGTGCGAAGAAGATAAGGAATTTGAACATCTTGAGTCTGGAAAAGATAAAATTATGTAATTCTTAACCCTGTGTGACCTTGAAATAAAATATTATTGTATCACATAGTTCCTGATTTAAAAGAAATATTTATCTTATTTTGTTTCGTTTTGTTAAAGAAAAGAACTTAATCAACTATACGGGTTTTTTTCTAGGCTACTTTACAGACGTTCTAAATTATCTGTGACTAATAAATTAACTATTTACAAAGTCCTCATTAAACCACTTTGGACATATGGGATCGAACTATGAAGACTGCAAAGAAATCAAATATAAAAATCATCCAGTCATTCCTGTCAAAAGTCCATTGTAGACGCACCCTATTATGTTTCATACCTCACGTTACACACTGACCTTAACACTCCTTTCATTGCAGCAACTGCCACTGACAGTTTTAATAATTTTTGACTCTAAATTCCAATTCACTTACTCAAGCTCTATCTACTGCCACAAATCCATATAATCCGCCCAGAAGACTGCTGAGGCCCTGGCCAATAGACTATTGCATTGAGCTACTTGCTATATTATATTTTTATTGTGTTATCTTATTTTCATTTTACTACTTTTTTGGGGGTTATTACATATCTATTTTTTTTTATGCTATCATTTATTCTCTTAGATATCATATTTGCTGAATACCGAGGTACATGGCAAATTTATTGTGAATCAGGAACATGTGTAATTAATAAATAAATAAATGTCTTATTTTGTTACGTATTTATGAGACTAAAACTAAATATTTACTTATATATGCAGCTTTTTATTTTACAAGAAAATCCATTCCCTATTAATAAGAGATGGTATATAGGATGTTTCAGGATTAAGTGACCAAACTGCAAAAATGAATTAAGGACCCCTAAACAAGAAAAAAATTTCCTCTAAAGGTATGTCCGCAAATGCATTGTTTAGAAGATATTCTCACCTAAAGATTTTTGTTGTTATGAATTATTTACGTTATATGAAATTTGTGAGCGTCATTTTCAGTGCAATTTTTGGTTGTGGATAACAGACAACATTTTAATAGGTCCGCATTTCTTGCCATCTCGACTTAATACGGTATCATTTCTGGAATTTCTTAATAATGATAACTTTGATTTAGTTGAACATATTCCAATACAACTGAGAAGGGACCTGTAGCTTTAATTAGATGGTTGTCCTGTACATTACGGAAGAGGTTCACGACAATGGCTAAAAATGTTAATTATCCTAATCAATGGATTGGCCGTGCAAGACGACTGGCTTGGCCTGCACGCTCTCCAGACCTGAAACCACTGGATTTTTTTGGTTGGAGTGACATTAAACAAAAAACGAAAATTCAATTACTTCAACTCCTTACGAAGAAGGATAATTGAATCTTGTGAAACAATAACACATATCCAGTTCTGTAACTGCTGCTGTTGAAGAAAGATGCCGAGCCTGTCTTAATGCTCAAGGAAATCACTTTGAACAATATTTAATATGAATTTAATGTTTACGTTTCATTAATGAAGTAGTTGGAACAAATGAATAAGTTTTATTTACTTTTATTAGTTTATTTATTTATAACAATGGCGGGGCTCCTCAACCTCTTACGGGTCATTTAACATCTTACGGGTTATATTTACTTAATATATATATATATATATATATATATATACGTTATATATATATTTTATTTTTATTTATTTTTTATTTTGTTCTTTTTTCTTATTCTTTTGTTATTACTTTATTTATTTATATTTTTGTATATACGGTATGAATGTACTCTGTGAACTCTATTATAAGTGTCCTTAACTGTGACAAATTGTAATATTTCTCAATAAAGTGTTTAAAAAAAAAATATAACGTAAATAATTCATAACAATGAGAATATCCTAAACAAAGCGTTTGCGAACATACATTCATAGGAATTATTTTTCTTGTTTTGAGGTTCTTAATTCATATTTTCAGTTTGGCCACTTAACCCTGAAACACCCTGTATATATTTATATAAAATAATAATAAAAACATATTTACCTTTTTGGAAGAGAAACTGAGGTTGGGTAACTAAACACGATGTCGACTGCACAAATCAACAGTAGATTATACTGAACTACTGTGAACCATCCATCCTTTTTATATGCGAGTTCGACTTTCTGGCTAGCCCATAGGTTTTTCCCACGGACAGACAAAAATTACAAAAGGGTAGGTCCTTGACTCTTCAGCGATAAAGAACAAGCAATCATCCACGTACACAAAGATAAAAATACACTCACATATCTAATAAAATAATAAAATAATTAATGTAAGGTAAATATTTGAATGAAAATAAAACTGAAGACAAACTTCCTTACGAGATAACCCGACCAGGGGTGCCCAGAAGGGGGGGGGGACGCAAGTTGCGCCATCAAAATTAATGAGGAAGGTCATTTTTTGATGGGATTTTAAATTTTTGAGGGGGACAGAATCTGACGGGGTTATGAATTTTCCAAATGAAAAGTTTCAAATAAAAAACAAGTGAAATCATAGAACAGACCACAGTTTGTGTAATCGTATATAATCTTTTTTTTTTATTTTTTTTTTATTTTATTTCTTTGTGACATTTACAACTGTATTACATAAATACATCAAGTAAATTTGGACATAATAGATATAATGACATGAATACACTTGCTGAGTAACTACCCAATGGTAGCACTCTAATGATATGACTACATTAGGAGATCACGGGGCCATCTTCTTTTCAGACGCCTCGGAGGGTTATCAGGAATTGAAGAGGAAGCAAGGTTAGAAACGAGAGGGTTGGGATGATTCTGAAGTTTATTATGGAAGGATAGGTATCTGGATTGGGCCAGATCTGAAACATAAGGAACATTAAGATCTTTATGGATAATTTTATTAGTGACAAAGTAAGGAGCATTGAGGATTTTACGAAGGATTTTGGATTGTAAGGATTGGATGCGAGAGGAATTCGATGGTTTAGTGGAGCCCATAGCTCAGTATATAATCTACGAATATTCGAATTCTACTTTCATTTTCACTGTTTTTAAGAAGAAGAGAGGAATAAAATATCTACAGGCCGATACATACAGAAAATAGATACAACCAAAGACGTACTAAATACATATTACTAGCCACAATGTGAACTTTTTTCAATATTTGAAAATATAAAAAAATAAAATAAAAAAGCTTATTATAATATATGAATATAATTATTGAAAAGTGTGTGTGTTTTTTTGCTTCCTCACTACCGAAGGAAGGGAAGTTTTGTATTCGTGCGAGAGGTTAAACAAAATTTTATACTCAGAATCGAAAAATTCCGATCGAATTTTACGTTTAAGACGTCAAGGATCAAATTTGGTTCGGTGTCAGTCTGTCTGTAATTAAATCGGTGTACTAGGCATATAATCTACTATCCGATTTTCATGAAATTTTTAGGGATTGTGCGCACTAGCGGATCCAGGATTTAAATTTGGAAGGGGGCTTCAGCCCGAAAGCTTTCTTTTTCATAAAAATAACGATAATTATTTTGAAAAAAAAATAAACTAACTACCTATATGAAATGGTGTTTAAGTGATTCCTAAAGTTCTTTTAAATATAATTATACGATCAATAATACTTTACGAGATATTTTTTTCCATAAAACATGGTTATATTTTAACATTTTGGAAGGGGGCTTCAACCCCAAAGCCCTCACCTTAGATCCGCCCGTGATTGTACGGGATAGTGTCTAGATAGTTTCATATAAATTTTATCAAATTCCATCTAGCATTTGCACTTACGTAGGTGTAAATCTATTTTTTTTTTTAGATATGCCAATATTTCAGAAAGGCTCCATCGATTTGGCTCAAATTTAGAGGGAGGTTAGGAATTGGTAAACAGATAATTAAGTATGTATCAATTTTATCAAATTCTATCTACCACTTTAAAAAAAAAATACTTCCGCTTTCAGATCAGGAAATATATTATTTGACACGCCTATAGCTTGAAAACGGTTCGCTCGATTTGACTCCAATTTGGAGAATAGTATAGAGATTGATACTAGGAAATTTCTATACTAGTAATCACACGGAATGGGGATTAGGTTAATACAATATTTTTACGAGTTTATAAAATTTTAGGTTTTATTCAAAAAGTTAATTTATGTTGTATTGTTTGGTCGATTTCCAACGTTATGAACATACTTACTGCTGTCACTTAGATTTTGTATAATTTTCTGTAAATTTTAATTAATTTTTACTGTGTGTGTGAAATAAAATAAATCTTATTTGTGATTGTGTTTGTGGCTATTGAAGTTTAACCAGCTCCTCGTGGTCTCCATTTCCTCCTTAAACATCTAAGTTGTGTGAACTTCATTCATATTTTTGTATTTCAGCTTAAATTAGTTTCGTTCTCACTGAAGATATTGGAAGACATTTTATGAGTGGACACATATTTATTTAGTGTATATCACTACTGTTAGTACAGAAAGTCGTATGTAAAAGTTTTCAATTTTTATTCTATTTGTGCTAAAGGTGACATTTTGTAGTCTACTACTATGGAAAATGGCAGAGGACAATAAAATATGAAATTATATTATATGAAATTAGTTTAGTTACTTAAATGAAATCTTTTTTATGTTATCGCTTCCTATTCAACAAAAAACCTGAATCGCTTAAAAAAAACGCAAATCTTAAATTTCCCAATTTTTGTGCTGCAAAATGGGCAATGTTGTTGGGCAAAATGGATTGTTTATATAAACTTTTTTTTTATATCTTGATGTCTACTATCATTTAAATATTTTCCTCTACTTAATGGCGATTTCACATGCCCATTTTATTCGCCTCAACTTATTCATCTCAATTATATTAACCAATTCAGCGTTTTGAAACCGCCTAAATTCTCAGATTCACTTATCCTTATTCTGAATATTCTTTGCAATACTTTATTTTCAAAATCTTTAAGACGTTGCTCATCCCTTAATGTAAGCGGCCATGTTTCACATCCACGTAGGAAAGATAATGGTTTAGTAAATTCTAATTTTTAAATTTCGGAACAGGATTCGTGAACTAAGTAGTTTTGACAAAGAAAAATAACTAGCATTTCTTTGCTTCAACCAACCTTAATATCCTCTTCAATTTCGTTTTTTCTAGTTATCGTAGACCCTAGATACCTAAAATTCTGTACGTCTTCAAACACATTTTCTTCTACATCGATATCATCGAAATGGTCGCTGTTTTTGTAGCTAACCTAAACCTATTAGTCTTATCCGTATTTATTATGAGTCCTAGTTCTTTACCAGCTTCCATCAACGTTGTTGTATTTAGTTTTATTGTTTCCATGTCTTCGCTTAACAGTATAAAATCATCAGCATTAGTGTTGCCTAACATTGGTCTTGGCACTTTTAGAATACCAAGACCAGACCCTGTAAGTCTTGCAGACTGTTTTCAGATATAGTACGGTGCTTGAACATTTTAATCATCTAATCTAAACAGCTTCTCCACCGTCATTCATTAGGGGCCCAGTAAACTGGGACCTTTTCCGCCAAATAATCTCCGATAATATTGATCTCAACATATCCCTCAAAACTCCCGATGACCTTGATAGTGCCGTAAATTCCTTTACTACCACAATCCAACAAGCCGCCTGGACTGCCTCCTTCCCAAAAGACTCCTCCAGAATTCCTATAAAGACCATTCTACCCCAACACATCCTTAACCTAATCCGCACCAAACGCCGTGCCAGATTATTATGGCAACGTACCCGACATCCTACCGACCGCTGCTCCTATAATTACTACTGCAAACAATTAAAACTGGAATTAGCCACCTTCAGATCACAATCCTTCAACTCCTACCTATCCTCCCTCTCTTCTCGCGACAATTCCCTTTGGAAAACCACAACAAAAATCCTAAATCCTCACCGCATTTCCCATCCTCTCCGACGAGGTGATGGCTCCTGGGCAGCATCTGACGAAGATAAAGCTGAGGAGTTCGCCATTCACCTATCCAATACATTTATTTCACATCCGGAATCCCATCCTGCCCACACCGTAACAGTAGAAGAACTCCTTACATCACCAATCCCACTTTCCTTGCCCCCAAAAGCTATTCATCCTTCCGAAGTAAAATTTCAATTAAAAAAACTAATCCTCCGTAAAGCTCCTGGACATGATCTCCTTACACCTCAAATCCTTCGACAACTTCCATCCAAAGCAGTCATATTTCTTACATATATCTACAATTGTATCCTACGCACCACCCACTTCCCTCTGTTATGGAAACACTCCACTATTATCCTTTTCCCAAAACCAGGAAAACCTCTCAATAGCTCAACATCCTATAGACCAATCAGCCTACTCCCAATCCTTTCAAACATTTTTGAAAAGATCCTTTTGAAACGAATCCTACCCATTATAGAATCCCAAAATATCCCTTCCCATCAGTTTGGTTTTCGCTCTCAACATTCTACTGTTCAACAAGGACTCCGAGTTGTTGATCATATTTCCTCAGCCCTAGAAAACAAGGAATACTGTTTGGGTGCCTTTCTGGACATTGCACAGGCATTTGACCGGGTATGGCACTCCGGACTGCTCTCCAAGCTTAAAATCCATTTACCTCAGTCCTTGTACCTAGTCCTCCGATCCTACCTCTCTGACCGCTCCTTTCGAGTTCGCTGTGGAACAGAATTTTCCAATATCTACTCCGTTAAAGCCGGTGTTCCCCAAGGCAGCGTCTTGGGTCCCGTGCTTTACATCCTCTTTACTGCTGACATCCCTGTTCATCCCGATACTTTTCTTGCAACATTCGCTGACGACACCGCAATCTTATCATCCAACTCTGATCCCGAAATAGCATCCTTAAATCTCCAAAGTCACCTCACCTTGATTGAGCACTGGTGTAATAACTGGCGCATTAAAGTTAATGAATCTAAATGCCAACATATTACCTTTACACTCCGACGCAATTCCTGTCCACCAGTACTCTTTAATTCCATCCAGCTTCCTTATTCAGACACAGTCCGGTATCTTGGCTTTCATTTAGACCGAAGACTAACTTGGAACCCGCATACTAGACTCAAAAGACAAGAACTCAACCGACGATACGGCCAACTATACCGACTACTAAGCAGAAAATCTAAACTTTCCATTGAAAACAAGCTACTGATCTACAAGACAATACTGAAACCTATTTGGACTTACGGACTAGAACTGTGGGGATCAGCAAAATTTTCTAACATCAAGCGCATCCAATCCTTCCAGTCTAAAGTCCTTCGAACAATAGTCGATGCTCCTTTCTATGTATCCAACAAAACCCTACATCATGACCTTAACATCCCATTTGTCCTAGACCTTATCCCAGAAAAATTCTCCAAATTTCACCAGAACCTTACTTACCACCCAAATCCTCTTGCACAATCCCTATCAAGCATCTCCCATCCCTATAATCCTCCAAGAAGGTTGAAACGGCAGTGGCCTCGCGACCTTTTGTAGATTATATAAATTGGAGTTCTGGCAATGGCCTGATTCTTCACTCAAGACATGTGTGTATGTGGCTAAAGTGCTCTCGACCAATCTCCGCTGGCTTTAGTACCAGTGACGCGGTTGGGAGAGTAGCGCAGGGTTCTCCTGGAGTTCCCTCGCCTGATTGTATATAGGTATGCATGTGTTTTTTTTTTTCCTTAGTTTTAATTTTCTTATTTTTTAGGTTATTTTATTTTATTGTCTATTGTATATACTTTTGATTATTATTTTGTTCTATTTATTTTATTTTTTTTGTACATATGGTGTGAATGTCATCCTACCTCACTATAACCAATGTCCAACAGACAGATTGTTATAATACTCAATAAAGAAATTAAAAAAAAAAAAAAAAAAATCTAAACAGCGTTGTTTTTTCTTGTGGAATTATATATTTGAGTATAGCTTTCCAAATAATAATAAAAATCTTTTTTTTTGTTCTCCCCTACCTCGCCTTTTAGGTTATACGGGGGTTTTCGGGGGCCAAGAGGTGAGGGCGGGGGATTAATGCCAGAGTTAAAAAACCTCCCCGAACAGCGGGACGCGAACTCATAATTATTTTATTGTCTCCAATTTCGGGTGATCCCCTATGCGCAAGTTGTAGGGTACCGGAGACCGCCGAGCACGTCTTATTAGCCTGGAGACTGGGCTCTATGTCTTCTCAGAGCGCGATCTCCCTCAGCTAGTGACCAGAGAGAACTACCCGCACTACAAGGCCTTTGTGTACGGGTGGAAAGACATCATTGGCCCAGTCCACTTCTATTTGGGTAGAAGAGAAGATGCTCCACCACAGAGGATGGAAGAGCAAAGCTAAACAGAAAATCTTATTGTATCGATTGCAGTATTGGCTAGTTATGCACACACGTGTAGCTATCCAATACTGCAAACACTCGTATTGCCAAACTGGCAGGGCAGAGATTTAAATAAATAAATAAAATAAAGTCTCCAATTTCGGTTAACAGGTTGGCGGACCAACGAGTGTGCTGTGTATACGGCTCTATTTTAGGTTATACGGCTCTAACGATTTTAATGAAACTTTCTTGTAATTTTCTACTTAGTGAATTACTACTTAGTTTTAGTGAATTCTCGAGACTATTCAAGAACAAAGATATAAAGAAAAGAAAATTGCTTTTGGAATCTAACTCACCACGTATACATCTATCGGTTTCCAACGCATCTAAACGTTTCTGAGTCTTTTTTGAAAGGTCATTAAATTTCTGACAGAATTTTGACAAAAAATCGTCTGAATTGGACCAGTTTTAACTGTTATAGTATATATTGTTTTTTATACGCTTATTTTAATAGTGGTTCACTTACCCGTTTGCATTGCTTGTTTCATCCAAGGAATCATACCCTAATATAATATAATGATTTCACTGATCGGTTTATAGGAAAATGAATCTTTTTTTAAAAAATCTTTTTATTGAGAAATAATAGATTTTGCCACACTTAAGGGCACTGAGTACTAAAGCTGAGTGAGGCCCATTCATACCATATATACAATACAATAAAAATAAAAAAAATAAAAAATATATATCTATATAACAAAGGCAAAAACTATAAAACCAAAGAAATGTAACTTGTAATCAAATTTTAAACAAATATACAGAAATCGGTAGCAAATTAAGAATCTATTTCAATAGTTTTTTTGTTGTTGTTCTCTAATAGATACATTTATACTTGCATTTTTTTTTAATATATAGAAAAGTCTTGTAAGTGGACATGATAGGTTTTTAATTAAAATCATTGGGGATAATATAGAAATTGTCTTTACTCTACAACTTATTTATTCCATATATTCGGAGGGATGAAGAAAGGTTATCACTATCTTTATTTATTCTTAATTTTATTGATTTAGTTGTACCTTACAATGTTTATGTCAGTAAAACTCATGTAAATGTAGTTATTTTGTAGCGTTTTTCTAAGATTTAAAGTAACATATTAATAAATAGCAATAAGACCAAGGTTTGTCGATATAAGACCAAGACCAAGATTTGTTGACCGAGGCGTTCTTAGTCTTGGTCTTGCGTTTGGACAACACTAAGCAGCACTAGTGGATCCAGGATTTAATTTTGGTGGGGGTTTCAGCCCGAAAGCTTTTTTTTTTTCATAAAAATTACGATAATTACTTTGGAAAAAAAGAAAGGAACTAACTACCTATATGAAATGGTGTTTAAGTGTTTCCTAAAGTCATTTTAAATGTAATTACACGAACAATAATACTTTAAGAAATATTTTTTTCCATAAAACATGGTTATATTTTACCATTTTGGAGAGGGGGGCTTTCGGGCTGAAGCCCTCGTAGATCCGCCCGTTCTAATCAGCATACCCAAGCACGGATATTATCCCACCCAGGTTCAAACCTTTTTCGTTATGTATTACTTCTCTAATGCCAAATTAAATAGGACAGGTGAAAGAGAATCCCCTTAATAAGAGGATCGAATAATAATAATAAAAATTTAGTATTGAGATTAAATTGTCTTAAACACAGATAAATAATAAACAAAATAATTGATATTTGGTAACGTGTTTATTTAAAAAAATATAGAACAGAAAAGTTATGCTTTGTTATATTATTTACAACCTTCTTAATATATAAACATCACTTACGTAAAATGGTTATTCACATTTTTATACATACTCTTATGACTTTAACAAAAGTATCATTTTATGGAATTAAAGAAACAGTAAATAATTGTTCTAGAATCGATATCTAATGCCGGCATTGTATTGATTGGAAGGTCTTCCAGCCCATTGCCTCTGGAATCCAGCGTAAGCGTCCAACTGGCCATTTCTGCCGGAGTAGAGGTTTCGGTTGACTGTGGCGCCCAAACCGTAGTCAGTCTGGGAGGGTGTTCCTTTCTGCCAGCTGTGCTGGACGAATCCAGTCGCGTCCACTCCAGTCTTCCCGTTGCTCCACACCTGTTTTTGTCCATCGTACCTTATGGTTCCGGCGGATCCAGAACCACCTCCAGATAATTGTGGTGACCTCCTTTCCCTTAACTGGGAAGACATAATAAATTAAACATAAGATTATCAGAGTTTATTACTAAAATTTGACCATTTTGATGGTTTATAATCTTAGGATTGCCAAAAATGGATATTAATCATAAATTACCAAATATATTACCTGAGGACCAAGGTAAGCAAATGGTTCTTCAGCTAGGTCATCAGGATAGGCTACCGCTGCAGCGGTGGTGCTATCTGGGATGGTTGAGATAATGGCGAGTGCGATGAGGATGAGAAATTTGAACATCTTAAAGTCTGGAAAAGATAACGCAAATTAAAATAAAATTTTTATTTATTTCGAAATGATTACTTACAATTAGCAACAATATAATATATTTGTTGCATTATCAAAATTGCATGTTTACAAGTTTACGTTTCGGGATATTTACTCCCATTTTCAGAAACACAATCCCAATGATCTTGTGGACACAAGGCTAAAAAATATTTTGAGTTTTTTTTTTCATTTATTTATTTTATTTATATATACATTACATCATGTCAAAAAGATACATTCCATGTTTATGGTTGCAGTAACCTTATACATGACATATAGTGGTATGAATGTTGTTTAGTAGATTGAAATCCATTTTATACAGTAGGAAAAACCTCATAAGATATAAATTAAAAACTAGCTTATAATCCTTAAAATTACAAGAAAAACGAAATACAATTTATATACATAAGAAAACTATATATATATATATATATATATATATATATATATATAATTATATATATATATATATAAATATACATACATATACATATGTATATATATACATATACATATACATACAGTTACATACACACACACATACACACTCACACGTATACACACACACATCCTATAAATATAAATATACACACACGTCCTATAAATATAATTTATTAATTGGGGTGATAGAGTTTATTGTTATTTGTTTGTTAATAGAGAAGAATCCGTTAAATTTTCGTAAATAAACAAATTGATTTAGACGTTTAGTAGTATGTGTTAGGTCCGTCTGTGTGTATACCGTTTTAAAGATGTCTTGTCATAGTTTCCTATTGTTCGGATCATAGGGTTTTCAGGCATTGGTGTTAGCTCGAAAAATCTAACATATTTTAAAATAAATATGTTGTTTTATAGTGGGAAGCTGTAACTCTGATTGCATAGTATATATTTATTTTGAGTTAAAATATATATAGTATAGTTAAAAAAACACCAATAGGAAATTACTTGAAGCAATACACATCACAAAAAAACAATAGAACAACAGTAAATTATAAAACAGACACTAAACATTTAGAAACTCATTATACGGACATATTACACAAAATTAAAATTTAATAGAAATGAAATTGCAGATACATAAAATAAACAACAACAATAGTATAAAAATAAACAGTCATATCCAAAAGTAAATTGTATTCACTATGGCAGACACCCAATAATTAGTCTAAAAGCAAGATGTTGCTCTAGATGTTATATACCTAGATTATTATAACATGAATTAGAAACTGACGATGGAGCACATTAATTTTAAGGTAATTACAAATTTATTGTAACAACAAAATTCTGACATGTATTGTAACATGCACTATATTTTAACTCAAAAAAAATTTTTTTAGCCTTGTATCCACAAGATCATTGGGATTGTGGTTCTGAAGATGGGAGTAAATATCCCGAAACGTAAACATGCAATTTTGATAATACAACAAATATATTCAATTGTTGCTAATTGGAAGTAATCATTACCAAATAACTAAGAATATCATACAACTTCCCAGAAAATAGAAAAAATAAAATAAAATAATTATTCTAGGACCCTAGGAGTAAAGGGGGAAAAAAACTATGTTTTTCAGGGGGCGAGCAACACAGTAGACATTTTTTGAAATAAAAACTGTTTTAGGCGTGATCAGCACTTTTTTGTGGGTATTGAAACTGAACTATCACACTCGGCTATGTAACGTTCATTCGGGTAAAGTCGGATCCAGTCGACTAATTTTTGCATTTGGATTAAAATATCTCAGATACTAAAAATCGGACCTGTACGACTCGTATACTATAAGCGAATAATATTTTCAGCATATTATCCTCTTTGTATATTATTCAAAATTGTATTTTAACACTATGCCGTACTAGAGAGACAAAAAGGGAAAAATAGTATCAAAAACCAAATTATAGTGAGTATTATTGAAGATATGGATTAAAATAGCCCAGAAATCGGCTAGTCGGAAGTACAATTTTATATTATCTATTTTACACATTTGTTTTTTTGTTTCAAAAGAGTATTTAGAAAAAAAATATTTCATTCCCAATAGCATGTTGCACACTGCTGTAAGACTATAACGTTGTATTCAAAAATAGTTATATATATCTCTCTCTCTCTCTCTCTCTCTCTATATATATATATATATATATATATATATATATATATATATGTATATGTATATGTATATATATTTATGTTGACATATAGTTATTTATATATATATTTTTTTTTAAGTTAAAAATTTTTTTAGGCTCGTTTCGCACTTTTTTTTGTGGGGATTGAATGAGAATCAGCCGTCAGACTCGAATATATAATGTATTCGGGTAATGTGGATTCTAGTCGATTAATTGAAGTGTGTTTGCATATCGATTAAAATATCTCTCAGAAATTAAAATTCGGAACTGCATACTTAAAGCGAGGGAAATTATCAGCATTTCCTTCTCTTCTTAATATGCTATACTTCAAAATTTTATACTAATTTAACGCGGAATTAGAGGAGTCGGAAAGGAAAAAAACTAAATAATAACGAACAATTCAAAATTTTCTAACATTATTAAAATATTTCAAAATTTTCTGTTATTCTATTACTAAATATTTTCTGTTATTCTGTTACAGAAGATGGATGAAAAAAATTACAATGATGTGAGTATTGAAAAAAAAAAGTCATATTATCAATCCTGCCTGGTTGATGTTTTTATATTTATCTGGCCTGTTTATGTATATATTTAATTAATCTTATTATTAATTAATAAACGAACCAAAGCATGGAACATGTAAAAGTTTACATATATTTTTTGTTTTTGGGAGTTTTTGCAATTATAATTACATACAGCTGGCTAATTTACCAGCTGATTAAAAACATTATGATAAAAATAAATGAAGTTTAAAGATTTTTTAAAAGGTCCTCAAAAATAAATCAATAAATCACATGATCTGTGTATATTTATAATATACACTTATATATGTTCGTATTTGTGGTTACAACTCACATAGAAATATGTTACTTTAGATTATTATACGATTTAATGATTTTTTTTTCAAATATTTCTCATATTTTATTACATATTTATGGAAGCTTAATTACATATGCTAGTGTTCGCCCAGTGGTCGAAATTCGACCATAGCCATTAAACATTTGAGGAAAAGATATAATTAAATAAAAAATAAAGTAAATAAATAAAGAGTAAATCACGATTCAAAAATCCTCATTTATTAATACAAACAAAATTTCAATTTCAATTAAAAATCGAGCTTAAACTACTTAAAATTATTTATAAGTAATACAAAATAGACTCATTCAAAAATATTTAATTTTCATTTTAATTTATGTATGTTATTATCACAATAAATTAATGTTATGATTAGGCAAGTAAAAAATAAATTTAAATTAGCAATTCCATTTACTTTAAATCCATTTTTATTCAGAACGTTTATGTAAATTTGAAGTAGCCCCCGTTAATACTTCAGTTTCATTCCTGTCCCATTAACTAATGCTTGTGCAGTATTAAAGTTAACAATGAGTATAACTATAGATTATATTTTTAAATTTAATTTATTTAGAGTGCTACCAGTGGGTAGTTTCTCAACAAGCGTGTTTCATGTAATAATATTTCTCTGTACAAATTTACTTGATGTATTCATACTAATACAGTTGTAAATATCATAATAAAAGTTTAAAAAAAAAAATTAATTTATGAGGTATCATTTCACTAAAATTACATGATATCATCTCTTCAAATAATAGACACAATTACCTCAGTAAATGAAAAGTTTTCGATTTATCTAAAACCAAAATAAAGGAAATCGAATTTGCAAAAGAACAAGTACTTAATGTTTAAAATGATATATCTCTGCAACAAATAGCCCGATTTCGATGATTTTTTTATTATTTAGTAGGGAATTCAGGAAGCTTTCGAATAAATATCGGTATTATCATAATAAAAATATTTGTACTTTTTGAGTTATTCGCAAATAAAATACTGAATTCATCATAAAAATGTATGCAGCTTGTTTTCGGTAAGGTATGTTATATACATAAATTATAAAGGTTTCAAGGGGAAGACTTTAGCCAAGTTTCATTGAAATCTTTGAAGCCGGTTGATAATGAAACGTATAAAAAAAAACTTCTAAATATTATTGCTACGTTGTGTCAAAATTTAAAAGAAATCGGTGAAGAACTTTCGGAAATAAGCCATTTTGAACAAACTACCATTTATATTTTTGTTTACATACTATTTAATATTTTTATTTATTGATAACATTAAAGCTCTTCAATATCTATTAAACAAAAAAAGAAGGAAGCAAATCAGTTGAATAATAGAGTAAAAGGGGCTGAACCGATTTGTGTTTGCCTATTTATATGATGATTAGACTTTTTTTTTAATGCAAAAAATACTAACAATTGTTGTACACATATTTATGTAAAATAATAAAAAAAAAATAATATTTACCTTTCTGGAAATAAGAAATTGAAACAAGGGTCGATTATTGAATCCAATGTCAACTGAGCAAAGGAAAGTATCTTGTACTGAACTACTGTAGCCCATCCATTCTTTTTATATGCGAGTTTAATATTCTGGCTAGCCCAGAGGTTTTTCCCGCGCAAGAAAACTGTTAACAAAAGGTTAGGTTCCTTGACTCCTACGCGATAAACTAAAGGAAATCATCTACGTTCAAATATACATACATACACTTACTTACATAATTAAATTAAATCATGCCAGATAAGTATTTGGATAAAATAAAACTGAATATATACGTCTTCACTAGATAACCCGATCATACAGACTATACGTAGAAATAGAAATAGAAAAACATCTTGAATTAGAAAGGAACGCAAAATCAATTTTATAGGCAAAGCATTGTAGTGATGGAATATAAAAATAAAAAAAATAAAATAAAATAATAACTGATGATATATAAAGAAATAAATTGTGAAAAAAAAAAGATATACATATGTTCCCTAAGATATTTAAGTGATTACGCGTAAAGATTAGGAGAAGAAAACAAAATAAAATAAACTGTGTAGCGAGGAGTGTGTCGAAGATAATTAGAAAATAAAATACATTTTGAAGAAATACAATCTCAGGAATAGAAAAATTAGAAATTTAGAAAAACAAATTTTATCTACTCACAATGCTTTGTGGTGATGAAAATTCACATTCAACACAAAATAAAATAATTAAAAAAAAAGAGAAAAAAAATAATGTCTAAAGAAAATTAAAGCCTTATCACATGATATGTATTTAACCAGGGTCTGATTGAATTGTGAAGAGGAATTGGAATAAGAGGGTTTTAAAGGTGGATAAGGATGATGCGTGGCGGATTTGTAGTGGGATGCAGATCTGTGGAAAGGGGTGTAAAGGTCAGAAGGACGAGATCTTGTGGAGAGGGTGTGGATAGATGATTTGAATTGTAGGAGATTGTATGCGTAGGACGGACTATGATTATTGATTATTTGGTAGAGGAATGTGATTAGGAAATATTGTCTTCGGAAGTTCCTTGATTTGAAAAGGTTCTAACTGACAAATTTGAGAAAATTCAGTTTGTACTCAGAAATCACTCCCAACAAAGTTATCTATGTTCCAAATGAGTTTAGGGTCATAATTTCAAAAATAAAGAAACTAGCAGTGTGACATGTTTCTAACTACAGACAATTTTTTAAAGTATTTGGTTTGAGAAGGTTCTAACTGCTATACCGTGTTGCTTTACTTGATTTATAGTTATTTAAATGAGATTTAAATATGAAATTATATGATTTATACTGGTAGGCCCGTGCGAAAAATTCGCACAGCATATATCTTATCAAATGCCAAATTAATAAAAATGTAAAATAATGCAACGTATCAAAAGCTAAAGAAATTAATTGTTACTTTATCGATAAATATAATCGACAAGGAAACAAAAATTAATTTAAATCATCATTTATGTTTGGAACCAACATGTTTACAAATTTCAATAAGCTGTATCTTTGCTAAAAATTGTCCGCTTTTGATGTTTGTTTTTTTTTTTTTTGTAGGAAATTTAGTAATCTTTTATATAATCATGGGCATAACCAAAGGAAAAGTGTGTAATTTTTTAGTTATTCGCATATAATGTTTGTCTTCTTTCATAACTTGTTTGCCTGAATTTTCGGGGTGATTGGACTATTTCGACAATACTACAGTTAACGTAAGGTTGTGTGGATGCGAACCCTATGCCTTGCGTGTTCTCGAAAATAGTACGTTTTGGGGCTTAAAAACGCAGGATCCGATAGTTCCGAGGGAACTATCAGGGTCTTGCTGTACGCATCAAAATCTTCAAGGTCCAATTCGTCCCGTATCGATCTACAGACCTACCACCGTTCCAGTATCGAAGCCTAGCAAAATGTTTGTATCGACTTTATTTATTTTAGAAAGAAAAACAAAAGTGGAGAATACGATTCGCTAACCCCCCGTGAAATTCTGAATCCATCAGTTCCCCATTTGAGCATGATAGGAGCTTATATTTGGTACAAAACCGATTTTGAGCCTTACTGTAATAATATATGTCGAGATTATTAGTAAACATCTGTTCTTTGGGTTTAACATATTTGAATCGGTTATTTCAAAAACAACATATGTGATATTTTCGTATTGTTTAGATAAATAGCGGAAAAACATATACTAAAATTCTAGTAGATGAAAAATGTAAAAACAGAAAGAAAAAAAGGTGTAATCAAACAAATTTTACATTATTTATGTTGGTTTTACCTATGCATACATCATTAGATAATCAAACATTTTTTTGAAAATTTTGATATAGTTTGTCTGTAAAAATCCATATTTCTCTATTTTTTCTTATATTTTCCTTAATTATAACTACACGGGAAATGATTTAATTTCTTTGTTTCTCAAAATTATATAAATGCAGTTTAGAAACTTTTTATACCAAGTCCGCGATTTGAAAAAAAAGCTTTGATATCCAACAAATTTTTATCTATTTCGCTCCAAAAAGGAGAAATTTAGCGTAAACCAAAAATAGTTCGAAATTTTAATGGTTTTTGGAGCACTTTTGCGAACCTACAAGTCATTCAAGGGCGGACACTTGGATTTTTTATATTCACTACATAGCCATAAAAAAAAAGAAATTTTAATTACCCGACCTTTTGCAAAGTAACATGTCTGATTTGACTAGGCTAAAACACATTTTAGATTTTTTTCGCGTTTTTCGCCTAAATTGTTTCAAAACACTCAAGAAATTCACTGAATAATGTGAGGCATTAAACTTAAAAATCGGTTCAGCCGTGTACTAAAAAAATCGTAACATAGCTTTCAGCGGTCAAATAACTCTTTTTCTGGCTTCGCCATAAGTTGGTTGATTATTGTATAGTAAAGGCGTTAAACCTTTTGTTCATCAACACCGTTAATTAAAATTATATATTATTATATCTTTTGGTTGTGAATAGTTGGCATTGGATAAAATTAATTTTTTTTAAAATTATTTCTTAATGATATTTACAACTGTATTATATAAATACATCTAGTAAATTTGAACATATGGATATAATGACATGAAAACACTTGCTGCGTAACTACCCAATGATAGCACTCTAATGATATGTCTATATTAGGAGATCACGGAGCCATCTTCTTTTCAGACGCCTCGGAGGGTTATCAGGAATTGAAGAGGAAGCAAGGTTAGAAACTAGAGGCTTGGGATGATTCTGAAGTTTATTATGGAAGGATAGGTATCTGGATTGGGCCAGATCTTAAACAAAAGAAATATTAAGTTCATTATGGTTGGTTTTATTTGTAACAAAGTAGGGAGCATTGAGGATTTTCCGAAGGATTTTGGATTGTAAGGATTGGATACGAGAGGAAATTGATGGTTTTGTGGAGCCCCATAGCTCAACTCCGTAAGTCCAAATATGCCTTATTATAGTCATGTATATGAGTCTTTTGTAATAAATTGGAAATTTAGCTCGTTTGTCTAGTAAATGCTGAAGTAATCGGAATCGTCGAGCGGTTTCAGTCTGGTGGATAAAATTAAATAGATGTAAAATGCACGTTAATGTTAACGTTGTTTGTGGTTATTAAAGTTTAGTTATTTAAAGTTAGCATGTTAGGTAAAAGAAAAAACAAAAAAAGAAGAGGTGTGGAGTGCTGCTTTAGTGGTTCAGAGATTTTTTAAGATTCATTAGATAGAAAACATATGATTTTGAATAATATTTTTTCATCATTTCCCAAAGCAGCCAGTCTATTTGCTAATATTTCTCTTATGTTTAATTGTCTAATTTAAAAGGCACAACTCTCGAAGATATGGACCACTGTCATTCTCTCTCGGCACCTTCGACAAATGGACGGGTTTTCTTTCGTAATTAAGTGAAGGTGTGTAAGCCTGGTATGACCTATTCTTAGTCGCGTAAGGACAACTTCCTCTTTGCGTTTACTGCGTCTGGAACTGCTCCATGGCTTCATTTCCTTTTTTCATCACCTTTAATTTATTTGGAGGGCTGCTGTCCCACAGTGTCTGCCAAACCTGGTGTATGGCCTCTTTCAGGGGTCGCGACAGTTCGGACGCAGTCAAGAAGGCTTTACCACGTCCTGGAAGGGTTAGACCTTCTTTTGCAGCTCTGCCAGCCATGCCATTTCCACCAATGCCTACATGATCAGGGGACCATAAATGTACTAATGTTCCAATGTTACTTAGCTGTTCTAGCCTCAAAATATTGTATATTCTTAGATGGTCTGGATACATGTTATTCATGGCTTTAAGGACACTCAAATAATCTGATACCACAACCACATTTACAACTGGCGAGTTTATCACATGTTGTAGAGCCATCGCGATGGCATTAATCTTAGTGGTATATATGGAACAAAGTGGATATAGTTTGCGTTTATAGGTAGAATCAGGTGTGACGAAGTCCGATTTAGAACCGTCGGTGAATATTATTAAGTGTTCTGGCAGAGAGATAGTTGTTTTCTCGAATAGTTCTTTATATTTTGCAGGCTTCGTATTTTATGTTTTAAATTTGGAGAGTAGTACATTTAATTTAGGCTGTATAAAAGTCCAAGGGAGTATGTCATTTGGATTTCGCCGTAAATGGATAAATACTTATAATGTTTATAATCACAGGTATTTTTCTATGTTACGTTTTTTAATAAGATAGATAATTGACAATATTTATTAGGGAAAAATTCATTACTTTAAGTTTATGGAACATCCAGTGAAATATGAAATGTCCCGTAAATAGAAGGAAATATTTATAGGAGCAATAGCAGACATCAAGAAATACAAAAAAGTTCATATAAACAATAGCCCAATTTTAAGGAGAATTGTAGGAAATTTAAGTTGTAGAGTTAATGCATGTTATCAGGCAGCACTGTTAAGCTGTTATAAACAAAGGCAGCTTGGCGTGGGTGAGGTTATCCAGAGAGGAGTAGTCCTTTGTTCCTGATAGTGTGATGTATATGTAGAGGAATAAAGATGTTGTGTGTATTGTGATATAAAGTTTATCAATATAGCCTCATTTGTTTCCTGATTTCACATAAGTCTTGAATTCTTTTAAGCATCATGTTTTTTGTTGAATAGAAAGCAATAACTAAAAAAATGTTTAATTTAAGTAATTAATAATTGCTACTCTGTAATCGCTTGACTTGATCCATATTCCTAAGTGACGAAATAAAT